GCTGAAGGAACTCTTTGCTCTGACTGACGCAGACAGTGAAGAACATTATCACCTTGATGGTAAGGAGCTAACCTACGTTGCTCTTCCCTGTTTAACCTCTGATACGGAACCCTCCTCCTCCCCCTTCCTCTCAGAGGCTTAAAAATACCTTTTATCTTTTTCCCTGTCTCTCTGTCTTTCTTCTAGTGGCCATAAAAACAATGAACAAAGTTGCCAGCCACATTAATGAAATGCAGAAAATCCACGAAGAATATGGGGCGGTGTTTGACCAACTCATAGCAGAACAAACAGGGGAGAAAAAAGAGGTAACGATCAAAGTTAAAAGAAAAAGGGTGTTATTTTGGTGCCTGTAATGCGAATGTTAAATTGTATCAAATATTTACCTTTCATGCTGTGTCGTTGAAGTGGATCCTGGTGCAGACAGATGAATCCCAATCCAACTAAAAAACTGCTTTTCCATGTATGGTTCAGTGAGTGGGACCAATGTAAAGAAGTAGTGGGCTAATTTACCTTCAGCATTGTGCTTGGGTCAAAATTGCATCCCAGCCTGCAGTTTTGTTGTCTGTGTCTCAGCTCTCCTCGTTCCACGTATATAATCTGGCCCCACCAGTTTGAGTGGACTGATAAATCTGGCAAGTGTGTACTTAGTTCTTTAATCACTTGAAAGAGATCAAAATGTGAGGTGCAGTGTGTGAGAAACTGCTGTTTCTCTTCTAGAAAGCATGTTAGTGGGCTTGATATGTGAGAGTGCCTTGGGCTTTGGTCTCGACGTCTCCTATGGTGCATATGCAAACATGTGAAGATCCAGCGTGGCTCAGTCCTGGCTGGCCACCTCAGAAACCTGTGGAAGGTATCTTGAAGTTTCAGACTGAGACCTGGACTCTCCATTTACTGATAAACCGTAGGTCTGCAGTCCAGTGGCATAGTAAAGGAGAGTGGTGAGCAGCACAGGGGGAACAGAGTAAGGTCGAGGGGGACTCAAGGAAAAGGGAGACACACTAAAGGGCAGATGGGAGGCGTGATGTGGGTGAAGGCTGGAGAGAAACACGACCGTATGCAGTAACAGGGTTTTGCCAACAGCCAGGATGAAGAACAAACATAAGAGGTGCTGAGCTACAAGGCAAAGGAGGTCTGGGATTGAATAGTGTTGAGGAAGCTTTGAGTGTGAGAGATGGATACAGCAGGGAGGGAGGATCAGATGGTGGGTAGAGGGCAAAGACAAGGGTTGGCGCTGGCAAGCAGCAGTGGAGAGAGCCTGTCAGGACACCTGTTGGGAGAGCAATTGTGGTTTGGTGTTAACCTGCGAGAAGAGACAGTCAACATGTATCTTAGTGTTGCCCTTGTTATAAGGGAAACCTCAGGTGCTGATGGTATCCGTGGCGTCCTTTGGCAAAAATTGGACTTCACTGAGAAGAGAGTGGAGGAATGGGATAACTTGTCCCCTAGGTTGGGGATGGCCCTTGATTTGTCACTCTGGGAGACTATAAGTGAAAGTGAAAGATCTGGTTGCTGCAGAATTAGTAGGCATCTTCCAACAGTCGTTACGAACTCCTGTATTAGTCTGTTTCCAGCAATGTGAGCCTTTGGGTGAAATCAAGAGCCATAGCAACTGTGAGGAGGAATGCAGCTTCACATGATGCAGCTTCTAAACTTTACCCCAAACAGTGTGTGTGTGATGGGGGCTATGCTTAAATGTTCAGCCAAAATAGAAAGAAACTGGTAGGGGGAAAGATAGACAAAGGAGAAAAAAATTCAAGGAAACATCTGGTTTTTGCCCTGACTTCCTGCCAAATTATGAGAACCAGGCTCTGAGTTTGACTTCTCCTAATTTATGCTCACCAATTAAGGATTTACATGCATCTTGCTAACTGTCACAGTCTATTTACACACACTTGTGGTCATCTGATGAAATACTCCAAAAGTTTGCTTGTGGGGTGTTTTTTGTTTGAAGTTTGTTACTAAACAAACAAGTCTTCTTGAACTGAAAACTCAAGTAAGCTTTCTTGAACCGATTACACATTGTGTCTTTGTGCATGTCCTTGTGCTGGCAGGTTGCAGACCTTTCGATGGGGGACTTGCTCTTGCATAATACAGTGATATGGCTAAATCCTCCTGCTTCACTGGGGAAATGGAAGAAGGAACCCGAGCTGGCAGCATTTGGTTTGTATCCTAGCAATTTTATTTCGGATGCCTAAAAGACTGTCAACTGTGCCTCAGCAGATAGGTATTTGTTGAAGGTAGTTCAGCATTGCCTTCTGCGAGGTTGGCTGGAACTTAAAACCATATTTGTTTCTTTGCTGCAATGGTCAAATTCTGTTCTGTGTTGATCTAAAACTGGTGAAGAATTTGGAGATGACTGCTGGAATAGTGCAAGCGTTTCTTAAACCCATATCCAAGGCTGTGAATTGAGAGCTATATAGAAAGGTATTTGTCTCTAAAAAGATACAGCTCATTAGTCTGATTGATGCCAAGTAACTCTACTTCACATCCTGTAGAATAGGTTGGGGGCTTTCAGAGGCTTTGCCTTTTTTCTCCGTGCCTTTTGCCAGAAAGAACTTGTATATCTAAGCTTTAAAAAGTGCTTAAAAGCTAAGCCAGGACTCCCAGTGAGTTGCTTTGGAGTGGTCTGTCTCTCTCCAAGTAGTCATATCTTGGGTGGCCAAACTAGAAATTGAAACTGCTGTTGGCAGAGAACTCAAGGTGTTTCCACTGCGTTGAAGTATGGTCCCTTGGAAAGCTACATGGTCGCTTATATTGGCTAAATCACATGTCCCTTACTTTCAGAATTGTATCAAGTAATGCGGAGTGTGCTAAGTTCTTCTTTATTTGTTCTTAAATTTCTTTACACACAACAGGGTTTTTCCTTGTTGTTTCCAGAAAGTGATACTGGTTAGGAAGCCAGTGATTTTTACTTTTGTTTTTGTTTTATACCAAACAGATAACAAATGAAGGCTTTTTCAGCTTTGCTCTGGGAGAGCGTATAAAATTGACTGCTTTCCTGTAAGTTGGGAAAGCACCTGGTCATACCCTGAAGCTGAGGGGCCTCATGAAAGCTGCTAGGAACGTGCAGCAACTCTTCATTACTCCAAAAATCTTTACATTGGTTTCATAAAATGTCCAAAATTAAGTGTCCATGCAATTCAGTGTGAAAACAAAGGGTGCACTTGAGGCCTGAAGAAAGAGATCACAGGGAAATCTAGCATCTTGAAAGACAAATTCCAGCTCCATGTGGATGTTATGTGGCAAAAGAGGAATTGGATTACAGCTCTGCTGGCCAGTGGTGCTCGCTTTTTAATTCAGGAGAGACCATTGTCCCACCAGGGAGGGGTTTAAATTCTGTCCAAGCGCAGTCTCATCTGCTGGCTGGCTGGCTGGATACTGCTCGTTTGTCTGAGGTGAACTTAGCCAGGGGGATTAATGTTTTCTAAATTTTTATATAGCACTGTTGTTGTTCTAATAACTGCTTACTTAAACACTAAGTTTCAAGTGACTTTGAATCAACCTGGTTTTGTGTGGTAAAAGCTGTTGAGGTTGGGTTTTTTGGGAAGAATATGCAAGAGGGCTGGTGGGTTTACTCCTGCCTTCCCTCCCTGATTCAGGTGAGGGCTGTCTGAGGAGTTGCAAGGTCTGTGTGCTTGGGCATAGAGGAGACCCATTCCTAACCTTACTGACTAGGTGGCTTTTGTTTCTGCCTTTCTCCTCTAGTGTTCAAAACTGCTGTGGTCCTTGTATACAAGGATGGTTCCAAACAGAAGAAGAAACTCGTAAGTTGCATGGACTGTTTCAGTGATGCTGTGTGCATTTGTGGTGCTGCGATCAAGATTTGCTTTCCATAAAGCTGTGGTGCTAAACTGTGCTTTTGCAAATGTGATCCCTGTTGTCTGCTGCACAACTGAGGTTTTGGGTAATGCTGAGTGGCCTGCTGTTCAGCCCAGGTGCAGCAGTCTGTAAGCATCCACTTAGTTTATCCTTTGCTCTCTGCTGGGCTATTCATTCGTGTTACCTGCCACATCCATTCCATGCTGTGGTGTGCACTTCCATGAAACAAGGTATCACCTTGAACGTCTCTTGTGTGTGACTCTTTGGTCAGTGTATATGAATCAAATATGAGAGCTGATGTCTGTCTACTTTCTTAATGAAACACAGTGCCCTTGTTTCTGTTCTGGCTGTTGCATGCCACTGAGTAAGTGCTGGCTGCTCTCAGCTAAATTAGGTGTGCCTACAGTATGTATTGGGATCCTACTGCAGTTTGGGATTAAAAGTTAAAGCTAAGCTTGACAGTAAACACATGCCTCACTACAACAGGAAACACAGTTTATAGCATTACAGAAAACTTTTTCATTCCCACGAATGACATAAAATGAGGTGTGATTTGAAATGCTTGTATGGTTAAAGTCAACTGGCCACAAGATAACTTCAGAGTGACTAAAGCAAAACTAATGCATGTCTGTGAGTGTATGTGCACTTGGAGGAGAGAATGCAGCATTGGTCTCAAATGACTTCAGAAGGAATTGGGAAGAGTTGATTGCCCTAATGATTGCTGTTGGCTAGATTTTCTTCATAGAAAGGCACTTTGGTGATGCCAGTTACTAAGACGTAGTGAGAAAATAAGAACTGCAACAAGTCCCTAGCTGGATGTTCTCAGTGCAAAGCATGGGAGACTTTTGTGTCTGGCTATCCCAAGGTGTCTCATTTCCTAACAGTATGTTGAAATTCTTCCAGGGAGGATCACATAGAGCTTCAATTTATGAAGATTGGGATCCGTTCCGCTTTCGCCACATGATACCTTTAGAAGCGCTGCAGGTTCGAGCGTTGGCAAGTGCAGGTAATGTTCCTGCTGCATGAATTTGGCAGGATTCTTAATCTTTGGTCTGGGGGCGTTCACTGACCAATGTTTGTCCTTAGTACATGTGTACATGCAGTTTCTGGGGCCTGAAAAAGGAACTCACAACCTCAACACCCATAATAGCCCTGGAGAGGGATGAAGGGACAGAAGTTCCAGTTGTGCATCTCCAGCTTGTCAGTACTTCTCTGAAGCCAGGAAGGGTTCTGGAAAAACAGAGCAAAGTTGTTGCTGACTCTGGTTCACTCTGTTCCTCTTCTGGAGGCTAGAAGGCAATCTTGCAGCCACGAGACAACAGAGCTAGTAAATTTTTGTTCTTGTGGTTGACAGCTTCGTGTGAAGCTTATAGTATTAAGAATTTCAAAATTTTAAACAATTTGCTCCCTTTCTAAAGCACAAGTGAAAGTGGTAAGACCATAGGAGGTAGCTGTAAAATGTGACAGTACTCTGTGGAATACCTGAAAAGCTGGGTTGGGTTGGTTGGGGGTTTTTTTTTGGGTTATGTTTTGGGTTTGGGGTTTTTTTTGTATTTTTATGGGACTGAGTGAGTGTGTATAAGATACTACTAGATTTTGGCAAGTTTGTAAGAGTCTGTTGTTTCATTAGTCACTTGCCCACTGATGCCTTTCAGCCATGAGTTAATATTATTTGCAGTGTATAATCTGTTGTCCTGGATTATTTTAAACCATTTCTTCAGGATTATGGAACAAATACTCTAATTGAGGTTAAATATGAGAAACTGTTAAATGAAGTTCTACTTGCTTTTCACTTTAGATGCAGAGACCAATTCTGTATGTGAGATTGTCCATGTTAAATCTGAGTCTGAAGGCAGGCCAGAAAGAACGTTTCACCTTTGCTGTAGGTAAGTGCATTTCTGTATTTTCAATGGCAGCTGCATCTCTGGATCCCAGCTTGCTTTATGTCTTTCCTTTAAGGCAATCTGGGAACAGCCAGCAGGGGAAGTGGGGAGAGGGTGTTAAAACCTTACTTCTGGCAGGCAGAATTTTGTAAAGCGTATTAAAATAAAGGCATATATTTGATCAGCCTTGCACCTTTATGGGAATATCCTTACTACAATTTTTCTTTCACAAATTTACATCCAGCTAAACTGCAGCATTGGATCTTCATGCTAGGTAGCTGCTAATGACTCGTGTTGAGCTGGTATCTTTCATGCCACTAAATTCCAACCTCTGCTCTTAGGGCATTGCCCTTTCCCTTAAGTAAACCTTGTCCATCTTCCTTGTGGTGGTTGCCCTGATGTGCTTTAGAGTTCAGATTTTACAACTTGGTACACAAGTTCACCAGGGTCCAACAGAGCTGATACCAAGCCAATTCCTACTACTAGGTAGTAGAGAATTGCAGGACTTCTGCTTGGTGTGTGTTTACAGGAGACAAACCGAGATTTAATTAGCTGCCACAGGTCAGCTTGATGTGTATCGGACAAAGTGAAGTTGGTATTGGAGGAAAAAGAAGCCTCAAGAGGGGTGAATGGCTAAATGTTTTGTTAATGAACAGCGTATTTGTTTCCCTGGATGTCCATTGCAATGACTATAGATTTAGCCTTGCTTTGAAAATACTGTATTAAATTGAGTCTTCTCTGGGGGAAGCGCGTGCCAGTCGGTTCGCACTGTTTTAAATTACAGAACTGGTCATTATTTCTCATTTACAGTGAGCTTTTAGCAGTTCCCAAGAGATAACGCTGCCTTTTGTATTCTCGCCTATTTTTCAGTTCACCAGAACACAGGAAGGACTTTCTGAAGGCAGTGCACTCGATTCTGCGGGATAAACACAGAAGGCAGCTTCTTAAAACCGAAAGTTTGCCCTCATCCCAGCAATATGTTCCTTTTGGTGGAAAAAGATTGTGTGCTCTAAAAGGTGCAAGGCCAGCCATGAACAGGGCAGGTACTGTAGGGCTACAGACTTTCAAGATCCCAGTAACCCCAGCACCGTTGTAGGACATGTGGTGGTGTCTGTCACTTGTATATTAGGATTAGCATTCTCTCCTGTATATGTAAAAACCGCTGGTTTTCCATGCTTCACCTCCCTGAGAGCCTTAAATTGCCTCTATTTACCTTGCTTTGCACTCAAGGTTCAGCTTCAGAACCATCCTTCTGGCATGGAAGGAAGAAATGGGATTCCTGTCAGTACCAATTGGCTGTGCACTTTAATCTGGAAATGGGTTTCAGCTGAACGAAGCAGAAGCCTGCTGCATATTTCTTAAAAGGATGTACAGAATTTTGAGCTAACCCTAGCACTTTTAAACTAAAATGCACAAGAAAAATCAGGTCCCCCAAGTGAGTGGCTTGGTTTGAAGAGATAGCTTCGTATGTCCTCCATTTTAGCCTTTTCAGCTCTGTTGCTAAAGGGCATGTGCTTCTACTTCTCACATTTTGAGAGGCATGCACTTGATACTACTATTTTGTAATGGCCTGTCCTAAACAGTGGATTTTCCTTTTCAGTTGACTTCAGGCAAAAGCAATGAGCAAATTCCAGGGAAAAGTAGGTTTTCATTTTCAGAACACTAGATGATGGAGGGAAGAAACATTTGCTTCCAACTGAAAAGTACACGGCACCGCTGCGTGTTTTGTTCTGGTCTGTTATTTATTGTTTTTTTTTCTGCTCATTAGATCCAGCAACGTAGACAACCAGGCTTTATGTTCCTCTTCTCTAATGGGCAGGCCAGACCAATAACATTCGCAGCATGACTTCTCACTTGGGGTGTTGCTAAGCCATCTGCCTCAGAGACACTTAAATCGTAAGGAAGAGTCAAAGTAGGGCCAAAGTGCAGCTGGTCTACCACAGCGCTTCTTCAATCAGCCTGGGGGGCTAATCTGCTGTAGATGCCGAACATTCTTTCTGTTTGGCTCATTGGTGCATTTGCATGATGAATTCGGCAGAGATTAAAATCTCCTCTTAGAGTCCAGACCTCTCACTACATCTAAAAATTGCAACTGCAGAGCTGTTGTACTTCATGCATGTTTTGAGGCTCAGGGATATTAAAATGTAATCCTCTCCCCCAAGCTGCTAGAGTTTAATAAATACATACTGGAAGTGCTAAGGTGCTGGTTAGTGGAGGGGGACAAACTGTAACCTCAGAGTTCACCTGCTTACGACGGAACTACGTGTGTGTGCACATAAGTGCTGGAATGCCTGCAGGTCCCTCGGCTGCAGGATTCGTCCCCTGCTTTGCCTCCCAAGCCTCTCGTGAAGATGTTCCAACACAGATGTGAATTTGCTAATTGGGCCAGTTGCAAAAGCTAGTAGACCAGCTGATAATGAGTAAGGAACTTCTGAAAGTATTTCTGGTTTGGGGGTTTTCTTCCTCTCCTCCCCCCACTCCAGTAGGGAGGGAGCGGGGAAGGGAGTAGCAGATCCTAGACCAGGGAACTTACTTCTCCATAAATAACGCAACAATTGCAGCATCTTCAGCACTGAGGTAGCTACTTGGAAGCCTATAGTGTTGCTCTGACCCCAGACAAAGCCATTTCCCGTACCGAGGCTTAAGGCTAGCTGGTTTATCACGGTGTGCTGACAGCAGGGCACCGCCTGTGAGAAGCTGAGCTGAACAGATGCACTTTGTGCTGGCTGGCTGCCTGCCTACCGCTTAGGAGGAACAGTAATTGTGGGCCATTATCCCAACTGTGGATCTGAGTAGCAGAAACTCCTTTTTCAGCTGGAGCTAGACCTGTGCTGAGGAGCTGAGTGAAGTGTGACTTGCCTGCGGGGAGGATGCCGAATGACTAGGTCATTCGTGGGAGTCTGCCTGCTTTGTGCCTGGCGGTGTTAAATAAAGGGCCCCTGGAAGACTAACTTTTTAAAGAGAGTTGTACCGTGTGTAAAAAGCCTGTGGGGTTTTATCTTTGTGTGTGTGCAGTGTCAGCCCCAAGCAAGTCTCTTGGGAGGAGGAGGCGGCGGCTGGCCCGAAACAGGTTTACCATTGACTCAGATGCCGTCTACACGAGCAGCCCTGAGAAAGAGCCCCAGCAGCCCACGCACAGTGGGGACACTGACCGCTGGGTAGAGGAACAGTTTGACCTTGCTCAGTATGAGGAGCAGGAGGACATCAAGGAAACGGACATCCTCAGCGATGACGATGAGTACTGCGAGGCCATGAGAGGGGCCATGGCCGACCGAGAGCTTCGAGAGCGGCGGGGCCGCAGCCCCTGCCGGGGAGACCGCCTGCGCCCGGCCATGGACACGCACGCCTCCAGGATGACCCAGCTGAAGAAGCAGGCGGCCTTGTCCGGCATCAACGGCGACGTGGAGGGCCACGGTGAGGAGGTCATCTGGGTTAGGCGTGAAGACTTTGTCCCCAGCAGGAAACTGAACACGGAGCTCTAAACCGGTCCCCTTCCCCACCTGGATGCGTAGGTCCCCCCGTCCCGACCCTCCATCCCTCCCTCCCGCCCCCGCCCACCGCGGAGAGCTGATCCCGATAGATTGCACACTTGCACACACCATTTCGGCAGCTGAATTGGTCCGAAGCCATGCGGCCACACTTTAGGCAACTGTAAAACGCTCAAAACCTGGAATGGAATTAAGCTTAAGGTCCTGTCTTACGTTACCAAGGGCTTTCACACTCTTTTATTTATTCTAAAATAATCAGGGGCTGAAATTAAGTATGGGGAGAATATCATCACTGGAAAACAAATTACTCTGGATGTCTTAACCTACGTGCAGCGAACTAGCTTAAACAATAGCACAACAGAGGGTTTTATAGCCGTAAAACTTCAGTTGTAGGCTCATCTCCTTAATGAGGAAACTGCCTTTTTAATGTGTACAGTTGCAGTATTCTTGTTACTTTTCCCTCTTTAAATGTAAGAGAATATATATGTATTTTAGGAATGCGTGAGGAAAGGTTTGGGATTTATGTTGTGTTAAGTCCTCTTGGTCTGTGGCTGGTCTAATTTAATGTCAATGTTGGAAGCTCTAGTTTTACATAATACTATAAAGATGCCAAACTCTCTTAAAAGAGATCCAAATTTAACACTTGAAGAAATATTTTTTTGTATTTTACCTGAGATGCAGGGGCACAAAGGGATAAGAGTTTTACAGCGTTAGCGTAGCTCCACGTCTAGGATACGAGGCTAGCTTTTTGCAGAGGGTTAGGAATGGTGGTTTTATATTAAAATATGAACTGGAAACTCTTATTTAGGTATAACTTTCTTCAGGAAAAGGATTCTTCTATATGTTTGAGACTGGAGTTTAGTTAGATAATAAAAAGAATAAAATAAAATGACGTGACTGAATTGTAGCGGACCAAACTGATCCGTGGTGGAACCTCGCTGGAGCCAGCGTAGCAACATCACAGATCCGTTTGGCCTGCTCTCTCTGGCAGAGTTTGGGCTTAGGGGACAGGGAACTCGTGGCCAAAAAACTGACCTCATCCACTCTCCTACTGTGGGTGAAACTAGTGTATTTTAATTCCTTTATAAAAGCTTTTCCACCGCAATAGAGTATGAACAAGTTCTACACAAGCAAACCTCTTTAACATTTTAAATCTTTTATTTAAACATCTAAAACAGGGTAAAATGTGACTAAAATCTTGTCGTTTTTAAGTAGACTTCCAAATACGAAACACAAAATAGCACTTTTTTTTTTTTTTTAAGATTTATTTAGCTTTTTTCCATTTCAGTTTCACCTATAGGAAACAAGCAAGACTCTATGAAATTTTCTTTTTTTTTTTTTTTTTGTTGGTACCTATTGGTGTTTGACACATTATTAGGTACTTTGAAAACCTGAAATTTTATAATAGCTTTAGGATTATATTTTATAAAGTCCACTCTGACTATATTTTAAAACATAACAAAAACTATTCCCCCAAAAAATCCATCACTGTCTTTGTGTCCCAGCTTAGCGTTCTCCCCTTGCCGTCCCTCCCCTTTCTGGTTTCTGGTGCACTATACTTGATCTTATGAAAGCTTTCTCTATTAACTTTTTGCTATCTTCTGATTTCTTTTCGTAAAAGCTTTAGAAAGGTTTCTATACCCTTTGTATTATCACATCATTGTTTTATATCATCTACCCGTCAGTTGTGTCCCAGCGTATTAGCGAAGCGGAGGTTTTAGCTGTCCTATGCTGTACCCAGCGGAATACAGTCAGCGCTGAAATACTGGAAGGCTGGTACCGGGAAGGTACCGTTGTTCTTGTACATAATGTCATGACATGTCTATGTCAAAGGTTCTTATATATTTCTTTTATAAGCTGAAAGAAGGTCTATTTTTATGTTTTTAGTTCTATGAATGGAACGTTGTAAATGAGGTGCCTCTCTCGGCAGAGGCAAGCAAGGAAGGAAGCCCCACCATGAATGAAGCTGTTGGGATCGCTCTCCTGGCTTTAATAACCTGTAGGGAGTCTCCTTAACAGTAAGGTTCCCACCCTTAGCAGTGCGTGCCCTGTGTTGTGTCTGGATATCGCCTTGGAACGGGTTCAGCCTGTCTTGGCTCTGCTTTTTGGTGGGGTCTGAGCTCTGGGGTAAGTAATGAGTCCTTTGGCCAGCACGTGCTGAGCTTCAGCCTGTCCCACGTGAAAGGCTGGGGCAAGCTTGTTGGCCTCCCTCCTCTCCTACTGAAACCTCATTTTTATTTATTCATTTCCCCAATGGAAGGTCTAAGCCTGGAGCCTTCCCTGTTAGAGGATGGAAAACAAGACAGACAGGCAGATCAAATGCTAGATGCAAGTATTTGCCCACAGTGTGCCTATTTGACATGCACCTTGGCACAAAATTAGGTTTTCCTTTAGTGGGACCACTACCTTTAAAACGGCACGTTCCAAGTCTGTAACTAGCAACGCTGTTCCCCAAATCTGTGAAACTGCTTCAACCTCTACTGAAACATGAGCGCAAAGCGTGCCAATGCTCGCTTGTGTGCTCAGCACAGAACAAATGTGAACAAGTATGAACTTCTGGTTTTAATGCCACCTTTCTTTTGATGTGTTCACACCTTGGTCTCCCCCACCGTTGTTTTTCCGATCTACTGCAATGTTTCCCGCAACCAACTTCAGCTTTCAGATCATATCTGAAGCTGCTTAAAGAGCCTGTCCTACTTCAATAACATCATGCCTTGCATTAAAAATTCATGTTACGTAGCTCATTTATCACGTATCGAGCCTTACATGGAAGGTGTGGTAGGTGGAAAGTGTAATGCTACCGAGTGGTTCTTGTATTCTCACCTACCGGTTGCTGTAGCTTAGGGAAGAGCCATCAGGTAAGGCTCAGCTCATATGTTGTGGAAGCAAGAGTTGCCGTTTTCCTTATTACGTCCATAACCAGTCACACCTGTTTCTTTTTCTGTGCTGGTCACCAGGAATCTTAAGTGCCTATTCTAAAAAGAGGGGGTGGGGGGAAAGTAGCAAATTCCAGAAGAATTCCAATTATGTTGGAAGAGCTCACTGGTCTTGGCGTGGCTGGTTGTTTGGCCAAACCCCTTCCCTTTGGGATGCTGAGTTTTAGTCCAAATCTAAGGAGTGTACCATGGGTTGGTGTTCTGTGCAGCCTGGAGCTTCCCTGGCCTGTGGGTGAGACCCTGACCCCCAAGACTTTTCTTCAGGGGAACTAGAAGTACTGGGGTACAGGCAGTTTGGCTACGTGCATGGATCCTGGCAGATTGTCCCTGAAAGGTGGGCTGGTGGACATTAGGGAACCGGTTTATTGGAAAACAAGGTGTTACTGCCAGAGCCCCGACAAGAACCTGGCACAGCCTCTTGGTCTTGCCCGCAGTAGAAGCAGCAGCAGTCTCACGGGGAGAGCACAGGCGTCCTGTAGCGCTGAGGTACGGGAAACGCTTTTCTCAACTCTGATTTTAGCCATCAGCTGGGGTTTTTTTTGCCTTCTCTAGCAGACCTGCTTTGCTTGCACCAGCTTCAGGACAACAGAGGAAATGTTTTGTTTCTGAGGCTATTGTCTCTCCAAACAACGTGTCAAGAATGTGACCCTGCTCCCTGTGTGCAGCTGTTTTAAATGTGGCCAGATAATGGTGGAGACAGCAGACAGTGCTGCCTCTCCCCGCAGCCCGTGTTCCCCCTCCCCGTGTCTTCGGCCTCTCTGCAACTTGCTTGCCTTTCTTTTTAATTTCATTCCCCGCAGTTGCTGAGGTACTTCTGTTGAAGGCCAGGCTTTCCTTCCTTAATCCTTTCCATTACAAGAGCTGTCGTGCCTGTTGACTGGAGACTTGTCAGCGTGTCAGTATTGCTGAATGAATCCATTCCAGCACTTTGGATGCTTGCTGCGGCCCTGCCTTATTCGGGGTGGGGATGAGGGGAAAGAAAGCCTTTGAAAAATCGCTTCCTCTGTTTCTCTTTTCCTTCGGCCACATCCTGTTAATAATACATAGTACCTCTGCGTCGTCCGTGGGCATGAGCTTGAGTAGCTTTTTGCAATAATGAAATCTTATAGCAGCCTTAGGGCCTGGGTAAATTGTTCCTGTTTTAAGCTTGACAAATGAAGGCAGGGGGATGAGTACACACAAGGTCGTGCCGCAAGCCTCTGGTACCCGTGAAAGGCCTGCAGAAGGCTGTTTAGCCACTAGTCTGGACGGTGTTTCCTTTTCGTTATTGTAAAGAAGTAATTAGCGGTAGTGAGGAAGCCTTTCTTGTGGCAGAGTAACAAAGCCACCAGAAAAGTCACAGGGACTGCCTGGGCAGCGGGGATTTTTTTTGTCCATTAGGTACAGCTGGGAATATGCTAATGCTGTGGTATCGAGTTGGCTTTCTCCTTTCAATTCTGTGTTCCCAATTAATTTAATAAGAAGAGGAGGGATGATGATGATGATGATGAGTTGGGGGATAGCTGTAACCAATGAAGTCTTTTCCACGTGACCTTCAAAATGAAGCCACTGCTTCTGTGGCTTCCTTGTTACAGGTGATGCCGGACCGCACACAGCCTCGGGGGAACACGCCTTGGTGTGCCCGAAAGGAGAAGAAGGTTGCCCCTAGAGCTTGTGCAGGCTCCGTCCTTGGGCGGGG